ATCAATCAGGCTGTGTTCACAAATGCAGAATATCGGAATAGTGCTGATAATATTCCGATGTCTGATAATATTTACTAAACCAACAGAAAACAGTATTATTTCTTTTTTAATTAAACAAACTGAAAATCATTTAGTTAGTCAGATAGAAGACTACTAACTAAGTAATTTGGCTGTTTGGATAGTCAATCAGTTGGTCACGGAGACGATGTCCATAAACCATCTAATTAAAAAACAACAACCTTTTTTCCTATGTAACAATGGCATGGATTTCCTGGTCGTTTGCCCCTTCATCATGAGCCTCCTCTCCTCTCTCCTTGTTTCACTTATTTTCCCTCCTCTCCTTTCTATGTGTCTTTTCTTCATCTCCTCTGCTCCACTCAGAAGAACAGAGGAGGTATGAGAGGACAGCAGAGGAAACAGGAGGAGGAGAAAAGGAGGCTGCTAGTTGTCATGTTAAATCATCCTTAGAATCAGACTTCAGACGCGGCGAAACACTGAGCGACATATCTCCGTCTCTCTCTCTCGTGTCTCAATTCTGATTTCAATTCAAAGTGCCTCAAACAGGAGGAAAATGCTGGCACATGTCTCGTTATGAATACAATACATAAGAAGGTTGTTCACGTATCTTTTTGTGGGTTTATGTCTCTTTGAGGTCATTTTGCGTCTTTTTGTGGCTGTTTTGTGTCTCCTTGTAATCTTTTGGTGTCACTTTGTAGTCTTTTTGCATGTCTTTGGAGGAGTGATGTAGAGACGCTGTACATGGCTCTGATAGCGGCCGCTACCTGTCAATCACAGTAAGCCCGCCCTAAAGCGTACCCTGCTTTATGGTCTGTTTGACTCTAAATGGACCATAATTTACGAAATGAACATCATGCTGTACTGAAGAAGACTTGAAACTAGAGATTGAGACCATAAACTCATGTTTACAATGTTTACTGAGGCAATAAATCAAGAGAAAAGTAGAGTCATTTTCTCATAGATTTCTATACAACCAGAGGAGTCGCCCCCTGATGCCAGTAGAGAAAATCAAATCAATCCATCAAAATGTATTTGTATAGCACATTTTAAAATACAACAAAGGTTGCCCAAAGTGCTGCACATACAGTAGATAAGCAGTCATACAATCAAAGACTGGATTAATAACAGTAAGTGACATTAAAATGAAGACAAACTGACACAAATCACACAAAAGTGCCATGTTAAGATCAAAGAAAATAAATAGGTTTATAAACGACTGTTAAACATTGGTAAGGTGGATGACAACCTAATATGAAGGGGAAGGTTGTTCCAGAGCTTTGGGGCAGCAACAGAGAAGGACTGGTCGGTCCGGGTTGTCATTTTTGTTTTTGGAACAACTAAAAGCTGTTGTCCGAGAGATCTTAGTGAGCGAGGTGGGGTATAGGGCTGCAGCAGGTCAACCAGGTAGACTGGGGCGGCGCCATTTAAACACTTAAAAACAAATAACATCATTTTCAAATTAATTCTGTACTCTACAGGTAGCCAATGAAGGGATTTTAAGATCGGTGAAATGTGTTCACGCCTGCGTGTACCAGTTAAAAGTCTCGCTGCAGAGTTTCGCACCAACTGAAGGTGTGATAGAAGTTTTTTGCTGATTCCAGCATATAAAGAATTACAATAGTCCAGCCTGGAGGTGATAAAAGCATGAATAACTTTCTCCAGGTCTTTTGAGGATAGAAAGGCTTTGACCTTAGCTAAGAGTCTTAGCTGAAAGAAGCTGACGTTGACCACAGACGCAACTTGGAGATCCAATACAAAAGATGAGTCCAAGATCACACCCAGATTTTTGACATGGAATTTGCAGTGGGTTGCCATGGGGCCAAGACCCAATGAGGGACTGTCCGGTATAGCAGCTGAAAGGCGAAAGGGATTGATAAGCATGATCTCTGTTTTACCTTCGTTGAGGCATAGAAAATTTAGCGAGAGCCAGCTTTTGACATCAGCCAGGCAGCACATTAATTAATTTATTGAGGTAGTTCCAGGTTTGACAGTATATTTGAATGTCGTCGGCATAGAGGTGATAAGACATGTTATGTTTCTGGAAAATGGATCCAAGAGCCAGCATGTAAAGTGAGAACAGTAGTGGACCCAAAATGGACCCCTGCGGTACCCCACAGGTCAGGGGGGCCGGTTGAGAGGAGCAGTTGCCCATGTTGACAGGGAGTGATCTGTTGGTCAGGTAGGACTTAAATCATTGTAGGGCAGTACCTCGGATGCCGACGGAGTGCTCAAGGCGGGAGATTAAAATGTCGTGTCCACAGTGTCAAAAGCAGCAGAGAGATCAAGTAAAAGCGAAATGGCGGGATCTCCAGCATCAGCAATGAGTAAAAAGTCGTTAAAAACTTTTAAAAGGGCAGATTCAGTGCTGTGAGACATTCTAAAACCAGATTGAAAAACATCACAGATGCCGTTCAAGCTGATAAAAGATTGAAGCTGTTGAAATACAACTTCCTCAAAGATCTTTGACAGAGAAGCCAAGGTGGATATTGGTCTGTAATTTGATGGATCAGAGGGTACCAGATTAGGTTTCTTGATGAGAGGAATTACTGTTGCATGTTTAAAATAGACTGGGACTGAACCAGAAAACAGACCGCTGTTTATAATTGACAGTATATATGGTCCAATTTCAACAAAAAACAGCTTAAAGAGACATGAGGGGGTGATGTCAGAGTGGCACATTGTAGTTTTTAGTTGATCAACAATTTTAATGAGAGCTGGGAGGGAAACAGGCTTAAAATGGTCCAACACAGCAGAATAAGTGAGAGAATTACTTGGATCAATGTAGTGGGATGTAACACCAAACCTAAGTTCTGAGATTTTGTCCTGGAAGAACCTAAGAAAGGTGTCGCACTGTGTCGGAGACATACTTAAACACGTCGGGATCGGGGGGTTGATAACAGAGTTAATGGTGTTGAAGAGAATTGCTGGCCTGTGGCAGTGATTTGCAATTAAGTCAGAGAAGTAGCTATTTCTAGCTGACTTAACTGCATTCTGGTTAGTGAGAGAGTTCCTTCAGATTTCAAAGGACACATGGTGCTTGTCTTTCTTCATTTAACCAGGGTTGAGGCTTCAGTTTGGGGCAGTATGACCTCAGGGGGGCGACACTGTCAAGAACTGCAGAGCAGGTGGAGTTAAATTTTGTTAAAAAATCCTCTGGAGGAAAGTGCGATAATGCAAGTTTTAAGACACATCCGCATTGACTTGTCACAACCGGAGGTTGCCGGCTGTCTCCTCCCCAGAAATGTAACTATGCTTATTCTTCTCTGTGAACATGCACCAAATGACTGCTTCTCTTTTAAGCGTTGCAGTGATTTGCAGTAACTGTTCAACATTTCTTAGGCTCTAGATTCACTCCATGATCAGCTCAGTTTAGGTCGCTTTTGTTTGACGTACATGAAAGAACTCCAGACAGCAGCATTGAAACCCGACAGCAAACTAGAGTTAGGGTTATGATTTTATGATCTCAAAGTTAAGTGTCAAATCAGCATAAGTGCGTGTTAACAGCTTAGTGTTCAGCTACAGTGACATGTAACATGAGTGACAGAGAGGGTAAGAGGTGACATAAAGTTGTCTTATTACCATGACATGAGCCTCACATCATCGTTTTGCTCTGCTGTCTGTGTTCCAACCAAAATATGAGGTTAGCATTTTCAGCTTTGTCCTTTCTAGAGCTCATTCAGACAGTCCACAGTAAAGGCAAACCAGCAGTGTCCACCAAATTCAGCTGCACTTTGTTCCAGATCTGTGGCGACATACAGAGATAATTCACGGCCACGTCCACTCAACACGAGTGTCTAACTTGTAACTCTTTTCTGCACTTTGCTATCTTATGCTTCAGGTTTATTTTTGCCGGAGCATGCTCATGTGAATTCGATGTTAAAAGGCACAATGAATTTGCTCATGACTTGCATTGCGAAACTACTTGTTCCTGTTTGTTGTCACCTTTCTCAAGGAGAATTCATATAGAAATATGGTGGCATGCTACAAACACTCATCCTAGATAGCAGTCGGCTCCGGGGTGGATCCGCCCTTAGGTCGGCAGATCTGCATCATCATCTATAGTATCGGTTGAACACTGATCATAAGAAGCTGCAAATTCAATTTGTGTGCTTTAAAACCGTTTGCTGCAATATTTTTCAAAAATCCAACTAGTTTGGTTAAGGATTGGCAAAGATTGTGTTTGTTGGTCAGGGCTGGGAACTAAAACACTTGATTAAGGTTAAGGAGAGAACAAAATAGACAGATCTGTACTGCATGGAGACGCTCAGCTGGTGAAACGCTTTCAGTGGACGCTGGAACCGAGATGTGACGGTGCTGCATTGCAACTGGAAAGCAGCGCTGCCACATCCAGTGAACATGTGCGTTTTTTAAATTTAGCCGGCTTAGTGTGGAGGACGATGTAGTCCCTCTGCCTCTCCATCTTCTCAGTTCACGCTGAATGGTTGATATTTGAAAGAAGGGGGGCCTCCTCACCCCCCTCCCTCTTCTTTCTCTGGATGCTTTGCCCCCATTGTTCTCCTGCCTTCACACACACACACACACACACACACACACACACACTGGTACAAAACAATGCCTGAACCATGAATGGAGCAGCCACCATAGGGGAGAGATGTAAGCTGTTGGCGCCCAGACTAGTGCTGACTCTCTCTCTCTCTCTCTGTTAGTCTCCAGCTCATTTCCCTCTCAATAATTTTTTTATTTATATATCTGAAAAGCTCGCGCGCGTTCTCAGCGGCTTTAGCACGCAAATGAACCCCCGAGAAGATAATTTTCTCTAAACCCTCTTAACTGGGGGATGAAATTTAGGGCGGGGGGGGGTCTGGAGAAGGGCGGGGCTGGTGGTGGTCTTCATAGTTGCCAGGGGCAACCATAGGGGGCGAGGTAAAAAAGCGTCCTGCGCGTCCGTGGGTGTGAGTAAATATAGTGTGTGTGTGTGTGTGTGTGTGTGTGTGTGTGTGTGTGTGTGTGGGGGGGTGTGTGGGGGGGGGGGATCTGCCAACGTCCCGCTACGAGACCCCTCGCGCCAATTCCATCCCTCACAATTGGCCGAGAGAGAGAGAGACTTAGCAAGAAAGAGAGGGAGAGAGAGACATCCAGTGAGAGAGAGACCTAGCACAGACAGAGAGAGAGAGAGAGAGAGAGAGAGAGAGAGAGGGGATGGCTGGTAGGATTTAGACCCGGCAGCGTCTTTTCCCGTCCAACACATCAAGCTTATTACCTTTCTCTCCACGCGCTTGGAAACGGATTTACGCGCACGAAAGGAGGTTTGTTTGGCTCACTTATTTATCTATTCTCTGCTCTCATCATCTCCCCGTTGTTTGCATTCATCTATTTTTCATTTAATTATTTTTCTCACCTCCTTAAATTAACCGTTTTATTCGCCCCGTCGTTTGCACTTGTGAGGCTACAGGTCGCGGGAATACGTTTAATGGCGATTAGCTGGCGGGTAATTAGCTGTTAACAGCCAAATTACCTGGTGGTAGTAGTAGTGGGAGTGGTGAGGTTTAACTGACTGTGGGTGCAAGAAGGGCTTGTTTTTGTCGTGGTTGGAGGGTCTCCGGTGTGCGCGAGGAGACAGAGTAGCGGTAGCAGAGAGGGACAATGAACGGGGCTGTTGTTTGGCGACGGTGCGCGCGATGGTTTGTACCCCCCAAAACACTGATCCTGCTCCTTCTGGAGGCAACGTGGAAGGGGAACAATATAACAATAAGTCAATTTAATGCTTTAATCAATCACATAGCCCGGATCCATCACACAGCCTGGCTCCGGTCTGAGTGTCTGGTTTCTGTGCGCTGTTCCTTCTTCTTATGAAGCAACAAAGGCAAATCAAATATATTTTACATGTTATAATGTTCACGTGGGGCTCAACAGAGGGCTTCATGATATTTTTTATATCTCATATTATAATCTCATAATATTCTGGCAGCTGCTCTGTGATATTGCTATGATAATTCTATGCTGTATAGGGTCGTTCGTTGCTCTCCAGGGCAGACACATACGGTCAACTGTTAAATATATTCCGGTGCATCTGACATGTGTGTCTGTCATCTGTTCATGTGTGTATGTGTGTCTGGGTATATATATATATATATGTGTCCAGAGAAAAGCATCCAACTCCAATGGTGCATGAAGTTATAATTTTAGCATCAACAGGGCAATACATTGATAAATAATGAAATAAAGTAAATCATAATAAATGCGCGCGCAGAAAGACAGAGGGAGACTGAGAAGTCGGCTGGTGTGGGGGGGTCTCAGCCATTTTCGACGAAGCGCGTGTAAGAGCGCACGCACATGGCGACAGACAGACTGAAATCACATCATAATCACAGGCTGGCGTCCATGTGAGAGACGCAAACGAGGTCAGCGCGGAAAAAAGCAGAGAAACGTGATTATTTTTGGAGTCAAACTAACAATTCATATTATCATGATTATTGTTATCGCTATTATTATTGACTGCTGCAGTATATTTTCTATAAGCTGGTTAGAGTTCTGAAGGGAGGAGTATGCCAGCCTCTTTTCTCCCCCCACAATAGACAAGGGAGCTGCTTGTTGGGAATTTGGCGCTTCACTTGTTTTGCTCAATGAGGAATTCAGTGTGAGCCTCTTTCTCTCCCTCTCTCTCTCTCCCTCTCTCTCTCTCTCTCTCTCCCTCTCTCTCTCTCTCTCTCTCTCTCTCTCTCTCTCTCTCTCTCTCTCTGTTGTTGTTGATGTCGAAGCCCTCCGTGAACCCCTTCACTTGCTGCTCTTTTATCACCATCGATTATTACTATCCCTCTCGATTGGCCGATTAATTGATCATTTAACGGATGCCCATGTGCAGTTTTGGAGTCACAGTCGGTCTCTATTGTTCCCTGTGTAGATGTGATGGTAACACGTTTAAATCGGCTCATTAACCCAAATGAAAGTCACTCTTATGTTTTATATAGCATTGCTACAGTGAATCAAAGGGTGTCTAGGTCCAGTCAATAATTTTAATTTGTTTTGTTTATTTCTCCTGTGATATTTCAAAAATATTCCAGCAGGGATTTGTATATATTATTGCTGCAAAATCTGTTAAATATTCTATATAATAAAAAGGAATTATTTAATCCGTTTCTCGAATAAAAACATGTCGCCATATTAGAAGCTTTTTGCCCCCCAAAATGGAGGGGGAGGAGGCTCAGAGGAGCTCATCAGCAATGCAAATTAGTTTTTTTTTCTTTTAAGGGGAGCTCGGGCACCTGCTGTTTCGAGCATGCGCGCGCGGCTGGATGGCTGACTGGCTTCCTCCTTCTCCTCCTCCCCCTCAGCCTCGGGAACGCGCCTCCCTCCCTCTTTCTCATTAGAATTATGTTCCTTGTCCATGGCGCGCAGACTCTATTGGAGCTTTGACGGATATAAAAAAAAAATAGAAGAAGAGCTTGAGCGCTCTTCTCTCCTACTTCAAAAATGTGTGTCTTGCGCGCTCAAGCAGCGGCCGCCTTCAGCGTAACAAAAGGAGGAGAGGGGAGGAAATGGAAAGAGGGGGATTTTAGAGGGAGAAATGAATTGAATGGGAGGAGGTGATTTAAAAGTAAGGAAGTAAAGAGATAAAGGATAAAAATGGAGGATGGGAGGAAGGAGAAGGAAGCTTTCAGCATGAAAAATCCACACCATTAATAAATGCAACAGTAGCAGCTATAATTTAAGTGTTTAGTCATCTAGTATTTGTCAACAATTAAAACTTAACCTATAAAGACATCTTTACGATATTGTCATCCATTATGTTTGTACAGCATGTTGCACAATGTGTTGTAAACCATTTATTACATGTGACCATAAGTGAGTGCACAATCTAACAGCACAAATTCAAGCCTGAACAGATCTTAAAATATAGTTAGCAAAATATCAATCTGTAAAGTAGACAAACTAAGTCGCTGTATGATGTAGCAATTGTATAAGTTTGCCCTCTGAATAGATGTATGAAGTAGCATAAAACCTCACATTACTTCTGACCCTGGAAAAGTGAAGGACATCTATTTTGGATTTGGAGCTTTCTATGAGTTGGTCCATCAGACATCGAACAGGAAGTGTGACCTCTCTGTGGTCTTGTTGACCCCGAACATCAGTGACATCACTTGGGTGTAGGATACTTGGTCTGTGAATGACTTTTTGACACACAATTGGAATATTTGTTCATATTGCTCAGATAACAAGTAAAACACATTGATTTGTTAAGTAACACTGCTTTATGGTCATCCCCGTGTGCTGTCACCATCATCAAATGAGTGGCTTGAGTTTGTGACATAGTGAAGGCTTCAATATTCATAAATATTTAACAAGGGCAGAATAAATGGGGTCCCATATTGTTTGAACAGCCCCGTGGATTAACAATACAAACGAGACAATTTAAGCAAAGCGGACAAGAAGAAGAGTAGGATGTTAGAACAATGTAAGGGTGAGAGGAGGAGAATATAAAGAGGGACAGGAGAGGAATGAGGAGGAGCAAAGGATGGATGATGGATTTAAAGAGAAAATGCACAAAGGAAAGATGGGACAGATACCGAAAATGGGAGGATGGCAGGACAAATGAAAGGATAGAAGAGATACGACAAGAGACAGAAAAGAATTTAGGAGAATAAAATAGAGGGGTTAAGAGAAGGAAACAAGACAGAATGAAAGGAAATGGTAAGGGAGACAGTATTGACGTTGAGAAGAAAAGCACAAAGGGGAGAAATGTGAACATATGAAAGTAGAAATGAGGAGACAATGAGGGGAAACTGATGTTGGAGTAAGAGGAGAAGAAAAGAGAGAAGTTAAAAAGGGAGAAAGGATACATTTCAAAGCAGAGGAGACATCGATAATGAGTAGAGTAAATTAAGTATAAAAGAAAGAGGACAGGGGACAACTTTAGGACCAGAGATTTAAGTCAAGAGGTTGAGAGGACAGGAAATGAAAGGAGTAGGAGAGAGAGAAAAGATATGGAGAGGAGGTGAATGAGGACACGTTTAAAAGGCAGATAAAAGAAGATGAATGAAAGGAGTGACAACAGGATGACAACAGGCGGATGAACAATGGAGAAAAAAAGAGGAAGAAAGAGAGGAGAGGAAAGATGGGAGAGACATGCGAGTTCTGTGGGCATGAACTAAACATGGAGCTGATAAGGCAGGTGATGAGGAGGAGGAGGTGCATTCAGCGTCGGCCATGTGCACACCAGCTAGCTGCGAAAAATCCTTCCGAGCAGATGGAGGAAAATGGTTGTTTAGACGTGGAACATGGCGTCGGCCGTAATTGCTCAGTAATGTACAGCACATTTGCCTCTGCTCTTTTCACATCACATGCACATCATGAGGATTTTTAAATCCCACATAAAACCAGCGTGTAGAAGCAATTCACTTCATCCCCATGAAGGGTTATCGGAATGTAGAGTCTCCCTGCGTGTGGCCACCCTTGCCTTTTCCCCAGACTTATGATCAATACTGGTGTCTCTGAATATTCAGCCCATTGACTTGTGTGATCATTTTGCAAAGCATCTGTATTCAGACTGATTTCTGACCTTTTCAATATGCAAAAATCAGCTGGAGTTACGTAATGCGTTGTCAAGTACCGTATGCCATTGTAGGCAGACACATAGTGAAAGTCTGCAATCCATCACCACATTACAGTGTCATAATTCCGCCACGACGGTGTTCACTGTGATGAAGAAATGAAGGAAACTCAATGGCTGCGTGTAAAAACTTATGCCAGTATGGATCTTGTGTGATTCAGCGTCAGTAGCTCAGTATGTGAGGACTTGGCTTGGGAACTGAAGGGTTGCCAGTTCAAGCTTCTGCATGGACCAATTATGGAGATGTTTTTTTGTCGAAAGACAGTTGATGCGCTAAATGGGTTATGGAAATGCCTTAGCCAAATGAGTTCTGACCTTGTGATTGTTTAACACATATGACTCGTCAGCTGTTTCTGCTGTCAGCGTCTTTCTGGATGTATATTATATTTCCTTCAATTGAAGAAAAAAAAGACCTGAAGGCAACTTGTTTTGTTTCCGGTTTTGCAACCTCTATTTCTTCTTCTACTCTGTTTACTCGTGGATTACAGACATTCATTGGAAAAAAATATGGTTCATCATTTTGTACACATTCTCCTGTAATTGAGATTGTGATTTCAGGAAACCTTGACAATAAGACTCAAATACAGTCTCAAATAAAGCGCTAAAAGTGTGAACGAAGCTCAGTAACAGGCCTGCTGAAGGTTTTGACGGCTTGAAGACATTTGGACAAGCTTAGAATGTGGGGAAATGAAGCCCTAC